TAGAACTACAGGACAAGTCAAATTGACCAATCTTCGAATTCTACTTCTGCAATTTTCACGAAAAAACACGCACATTCTTCCAATAAACCGGTGCATTCTTTTACTAACGTACATTCCGGAATGAAATGTTATTAACCCTTTGCACTCGGGGGGTGACTCTTCGTTATCATTTGATTTGACACAGTAAAACTATAAAATCTGATATTTGATGTTGAACTTTGTATAATGTCTCGATACGCGAAAAATTGGAATAAAATTAGTTAGTTTCAAAGAATATCGTCTTCGCCTCGTCAAACAATGTTAAATATTTCTAGTGAGAAACTTCCTAGTGCAAAGGATTAAATGTAGTTTCGTAGTCTGTATAAGGAAACATACATTAGATGATATGATTGCTTTGAAATTCTAGTGTCAAAAGTTGCGAGAGTCCTCGTATAACATAGTAGGTAGTTCAATAGCAAGGTTTTTTTTAACCCTAATCGGACCACGATATGACTTTGAGTCAGCTTTGAACTTTTTACTTAAATTTTTTTATTATTCTATATTGCATTTCCAAAAGTTTTTTGGGGGCTTTTAAAATCTGGGCCCTATAAACAAAAACAATAACATTTTAATAATGCCTTTTATTCTCATAAGTGACTGCGAGTCACATCGCGGTACGATTCGTTATAAAAGCACGTGGTACGATTAGGGTTAAAGCCTGCATAGCTGCAGACATTGGTTGCAGCGAAGGAGAGACACCCGCGATAGTGTTTAGGCTCGTGCAACGTGGTTTTGAACAAAACAGAGCCAATTAACCGTGTTATTCGAGGATTGGCTGTGTTTTCAATCGTCGCGCGCTGCCTCGCCGCTCGGACGTACGGCGCAGATAGCTGTGAACCATTTACCGAGGTCGGAGGTTAGCGCAACAAACGAAAGTTTTATTGTAGCGTCGGCGCAGACGGAGCGTCCTTTATTCCTTGCGATAGATCGCCTCCCCTTGTTCTTGCCCTTATCACCGCGGCGTGTGGAACGAAATGAGGTCAAACGGGATGAAGAGGAAGCTGTAGGAACAGGAGCATAGATCTCTCAGGTGTGCTCAACGATCGTAACGACTGGGCGGACGTTATCATCCACGGATCTCGTTTTATGATACGCTTTACCGGAAACTGCTGGTTTTCTGCGAAAACTCTTGTTATCGGATTACGCTAGTTATTTAAAGGCGTTATCGACAGTGTCTTGAACCCATGATAAGACCGGATCGCACCGACTCCCTCGCAATTTCGCTAATTAACTTCGGTACAGGCTTCGTACTGTTTTGTTGCGTAGATTGCGCGGCCTGCCCGCTCTCTCCAAAGATACGCCTCACCCGACGGGACTTCGCTTTTGTCTCGGAACACCTCTCGCCCCTCGTTCGCATCGATCCACGATTCGAGAGATCATTTTCTTCTTGCGTTTATCGTACGGAGACGTACCGCCTCGATCGAGAACCGTGGCGGAGAATAAACTCGTCGGACACCCTTGGCCACGCGCCGGTAGCTTTTTCTTTCTTTTTATCGTGAGTTGAACCTGTGTATATTTTTAATATTGCAATGCGACTCGTAGTATATGTATATTAAATGCATACATTTCATTCTTTTGTATACCTCGTTCCAGTGATACTTTAAATTCCTTGTGCATTTTATTCTAACGACATTATACTCTAGTTTTCTTCGAAATCTCTCGCTCCTTACTATCATAACACGATCTACGTTCCCAACGTTGTAACGAAGCCACCTATCACCTTTCGTCTTCACCTTTATATTAGATATCTTTCATTTGACTCTGCTCCAGTGTGAAAACTTTTATGCAACATCGAATGAACAGACTCGCGACGTTTATGTCCAATTATTGCATAACGAGCAGCACATAATTCAACTCGGAACGCTCGCTTGCGGTTCTCAGGAAGCGTATTCCGCTCGTTCGAACGGTCTCCACCCCCGGCCATCCGTGAACGGTGTTTATAATGCAAATTTATCGGGGGCATTCGTTTATCGGCGAAGACGGCCGGCCGGGAGCCAGCGGAGACACGAGCCAGACACGCACACGCGACACTGGGGGAGCAGCTGTGCGCGAAATTGATGGTGGTATCGGCCGATCGTTCGCAATTTCAACGTAGCTCGCGCTTGTTATTACCGGACAGGCCGATAACGAATACCGGCTACGAGAAAAACAGATGGACCGATTAACGGGGCAATCGAAAGCGGTCGCCAGCAAATAAACTCCGCTCGGTGATCGATCGGGAGCTAATCCCGACGCATTTTTCTGTCTGCTAGATTACTGGTCGCCACTATTCTCGGCGCAGCTCGATTCCCGGTCGATGCTATTGTTCCGTGGAACGTCGCGGGCGGCCGTGTGTCTGTTCCCCGCGCGGAACGTACACGGTGCTTCAGAAATACATGTACACGTCGTGGCCACCGCAGCGCGATTCTGCATTTTCGATTTGATGGAAATTTGACGGAAGAAAGAAGGAACATTCTTATCAGTTACTACCTGAACAGTTCGAATTCTACCCCAGGAATTGACTTCAGTTATTATATCGTGACGACAGTCTTGTGTATTTTGAGCGCGCGGTTTCAAAGGTCGCGAGGATCGAGCGAAAAGAAATTAGAGATGAATCACGGGGTTACGCAATTCGACGGGTTGACCGATAACCCCGTGGTTACAGGAAGTTGATCGGGACGCAGAGTTCGTTTGGTCGGACCCCCGGCGGATTTCCTAGGATTCTCGTGTCGCTGAACGGGTCAGTCAGGTGCGTCGTATCGGTTCGATACGGTATCTAGCCGCGTTACGACTTAATGACCGGCCTAATTGACGTCACGGTCCGCGCACGGCTGTCTAAGCAGACGGAACGGGGCGGCCAGGCGACTTTTATCGGTCGCCAGGGAAGAAGAGTGTGATTTTTCTGTTCTGCCCTCTCAAAGTTCAAAGGTTCGGCCGATAATAACGTTCACTCGCCCGACATCTACGCTCGAGAGATAAGAAATCTGCTCCGCGGCTGTTTATATCCGAGGCGAGCGTGCGGCTCCGATACTTTCACGCGGTTATCGCACTTCCTTTTGTGAGAGTCATTTAAACGCGACCGCGAAAGTGAACGATCGGAGGAAGATTCTTGAGCGAAGGGAGCTTCAAGAGGATGAACGAGGAGAAGACACAGTGATGTTTGTGTTGAACGCACGCTTGTTAACGATGGAAGTGTCCGGGGATTCAATACGCTGCATTGTTTTGCAAAGACAATGGAAGTACGATTATTTTCTAATTTGCAAATGTCGGGCGAGTCGTGTTTATTAATACCACTCGAATCGCGGACGGTTTCGAAAAATCGCATAATGTTATAAGCATTTAGTGGATAGCGGTTCAACTAAAACCAGAAATTGCTCGAGGAAAAAGAAGAAAAGGCAAACTGTGATAAGATGTTTCATCCACTCGTGTCAGATGTACTTTAACCCCTTGCCCTATGATTTCTTTCTCCACTGCGATCGATCTGACTACTTTGTTATTAATAATTTATCGAAAATAACAGAAAATTCCAGTCTTATTCCATGACAACGTGTGCTTGAACAAATTGAATAATATTTATGTTTGTTAAATTCTATTTGTAATCTTCGCCACGAATCCGACACGATATTGTAGGGCAAAGGGTTAAAGATAGAAGTCATGAAATCTTCGCTTGCTGCTAGGGGTGGGTGATTTTAATATTGTTTTGTATCATAATGGAAATCGAAAATCCTAAAAGTAACACCAGTGTCATTTACGGCAAATCACTTCAGCTTCTCGAAAATTAGGGTACCTTTTGTCCGCTAGGTGGCAGGGCAATGGAATTCCTAGAGCGAAAGTAAAGGTTAAATTGATTTATTGCTCCATCTATAATAGAATACCGCAACTTACTTACGAATTCCACAGACTTAAGATATTTACATACTGTACAATGTATTTTCTGCCTACTGTTCTGAAATACCGACACTATCAAAACTGCCTTCTATGCATTGGCGGACTCTATCTGAATCGAGTCGTCAACTACTGAATTATATAATAAATGTAACTCTACGATATAGATCATTAATTATTCCATTAAATAACCCTTTGCCTCTGTGCACTATTAAGCCAAAAACTAACGGCACTAACATAAACGGCAAATAGTGAATGTATGGGTGTGAAAGGGACAGAAATGGCATGGTTAAAGTATTACCATAGTGGATATTATGCTAATTATAAATTATTTTAAAGTAACCATTTAACATCATGTCCAGTTTTAATGATAGACTTTATTATAAAGTGAAGAATTATTGTTGATTTGGTAGCGTCACTTAGCAAAGACAATCTGGTGCTATTTGACTAGTAGTTTGAGCGTCTTTGCAATATGTGACACCACCAATCCAAGAAAAAGAAAGATAAGAACAAATATATGGGACTGAGAACGATAGCAATCGTTGTAGCCAATGTGTCGATAATGTAGATTATAGATAAAGTAAATTTCTGTTTGTTATTAGAAATCGTTTAACTATACATTTTAAAATTCTTTTGTATATATTCGTGATATTCTTGCTGTAAATAGTCAGTTAGAAACATACCGTCATAGATTTTGGTCGATAAAATATTTCAACATTATAATGTAATGATCATTGTAAATAAATAATATATTGAATAGAGAAACACGCCGTACAGTTGATTTTGTGGTACTACCTAGCGGAGACAATTTAATCCTATTTGGTTAGAAGTTTGAGCGGTCTTGTATTATGTGACGCCACCAATCCGAGATAGAAAGTGGAATTTTGAAAAATGATTTTCTTTTTAAATATTATCCCAAAGCACTAGTAGACTATAGTAGTTTCTCCGAAAAAGATTGTTCCTTAAATCTATGGTTTAAATTTATTGTATAATTAAAGACTTTCATATTAAATGTATAATTATCTCATGTGGGTATTGTTTGACTGCCGGTTTAAGTAATTTACCACTGATGGCGCTATCAGTTTATAATAGTGATTTTCTGTAGCAAATGATTTTAACCACTGCTAGAACTATTTCTAATGATTATGTAGTGTAACACTATTTAACCGTACTGAGTTTTACTGATTGAAGACAAAATATACTTTATTTTTAAAGGCATACGTTATGTGTCTATGTTGATATGATTAGGTCTTTTTCTGTTTCCATTAAACCGGTGACATTTTTGAAAAGAAGTTTCTGTACGAGTATTTCGATTGCTGGAATATCGACTTCTCGAGGTTGTGATTAGGAACACGTTCACGCATAGAAGATTCTGTAGCAGACGATAAACATAACCTTCTTATGTGTAATGTTTAATTATCATTGGAAGAACGAATGAATTGAAATAAACGTTATCTGTCATAGTATGCATAATGGCGAATGACAGGGAGGTGCTTAGAGAAATTTGGGATGGGAAAATACCTGTTTGTTTTACACTTGATTCTGAGGAAATTTGCGATTTGCAAGGGCCCGATCCGTTTTATCTTATGGTACCTAGGTTAAGTTACTTTCCCCTTTGCACAGACAAGGTAAACAGTGAGAACAAAATAATATAAGTAATTGGCTAAACACTGGTACTACATTTGTAATCTACTTTCATCAGGTACGAAAGCATTTTATTCGACACATACAAAGTGATAATAAGCAGGAGCATGAAATGTGGCTAGAATTTAATGGCATTCCTTTGAAATGGCATTATCCTATTGGTGTGCTCCTGGACATTTATTCCAATGACATCCAACTACCTTGGAATATAGTTGTTCACTTTGAAAAGTTCCCAGAAAATGCCCTAATGCATTGTCAAAACAAGTACATATAGCTGTGCTCAAATTTAATGTGTGTGGTAATAAGTGACCATTATCTTATTAGATTGAACTTTCAGAGAGGTGGTAGAATCTTACTTCCTCACTTGTCTAAAGGAAGCAGATGTATTGAAACACAGAGGTCAAGTTATGTCCACTATGCAAAAGAAGGACCATAATCAACTATGGTCTGGTTTGCTCAATGACAAATTTGATCAGTTTTGGTCTGTAAATAGAAAACTCATGGAAGCCAGCAACAGCGATGAGGGTTTCAAATACATACCTTTTCGTTGCTATACCAGTGAGGACAAATATGTACAAAAGCTGGTAAAACCTGTCAATGAAGAAGGCCAAAGGAAAACATTGAGGCATTTACTGAATGAAGTTTTTCCGGATCAGGAGAATGGTATACATTTATTTTTCTCACTTCGAAATCTTACAATAATACTGTACCTCCATTGTATGTACTTCTCTTACAGTTAAGGTGCTCACACATGGCATTGTCCCACCTTTGGAAACGCCGCTTCAATGGATGTCAGAACATATGAGTTATCCTGACAACTTCTTACATTTTATTCTTACATCATAATTCTCGCCAATGCAATCAATCAATGGATTTCTTGTAAAAATTCAGAAAACCGAAAGACCGACGCTATCTTTCCTTGTGAACATTGACTGACACTCTGATCGAGATCGCTGATCTTTTTATTCTCCACATCTTTTATTGCATATTTATTTTATATGAAATCGTGAATCGTGCTCTTGTTTTTGCAACCGAAAGGAAACGAAGAGGAAACGCTATTCATTTTAACGCTATTAGTCTTGCATATATTCTCATAATGCGCGTACGTACGAACACCTTAAGGCGGTGTTTCAAATTTTATCTTAACCTCAGTGCTGGACCTGAACAAGTCGTTGATCACCAACGGGGCAGGTTTGCTACCGATCGAACGAATTATAAATCGATTCACGGGAGTGCAGCCGAAAGGAGATATATTGTATAAATATAGTTATATAAATATTTAAACACACATTTATGTATATAAATATAACCAATGAAGACTGTAATCTATATTGAACAAATAAGTTTCCGATCTTTTACCATGGTACGTAAACAAACTAGCGGATTAGAACGACAATCCGCAACAGAAATGTAGAATACTATCGCAAACTACATAAACATTTACTTTATAATAGTGTACAATATTTAATACTAGACATCAATTAATTACACAACTATCCCGAGGCTTTCGATATATCCTCAATATCTGCGAGGACACTCCGGTACTTTGAACCGCTAAGGAACCGGCCGGTCTCCTCACGATAACTGGTTGATTCCCGTAATTGCTGTATTCCATGGTTCTACGGCTGGTCCCAAAAGTTAAATAATTAACCACCTCCCGCGTAGTCTGTTGCTCCTGCAACAAAATGTGCATCAGCCATCGAATTAAACGAACCAAAATTGAAGCGATTCTTAGCTTTTAAAACTACAGTTTTTGTACCAGATCAATGTCTGAATCCAAGATCGCTGTTAATAAAACGTTTTTACATGTAAAGCGAACCGGTGGACAAGCTACTCTTACGAAACGATTACTTTGTGTATGACTAGAGCCGCGTCCTGGTATCTCTTGTGGATCTCCTCCTTGGTCAGCGCGACGTTCACTTCAGGCGACTCATAACGCTCCGTCATTTACGGCCTTACGCTTCTCCGGCGTGCTGCGACTGCTAGACCTGTAACCAGAAACGCGGGTGTCGTTTTACGGATCGAAAACAATCCAGCCGATTTCCCCGCGACGGCGAAAACCGTCGGGCAAGACGAACGTTTCGCGTACCCAAAAACGACAACGACTGAAAAAACAGAGGACCAAGCGAAACGACGACGACTAGGGGGAAAAAAAGACACGTGGGCCGGCGGCGAGGAGGAAACGTCAGGAGGAAGGGACGGCGGTGCTCGTCTAAGATAAAAATAAATTCTGGCTGGACTTTTGCAACGCGGTAAACACCGATTTCCCGCTGCTCAGTGAATCCATTCTTAAGTTTTTAACTCTCCACTTTTTGCCACGCTAGAAAACGTGTCCTATCCTAGCTTATCACACTGATTAGCGTGTTAACAAGTTGCCAGTCGCGTATTTTTCGCTAGCCTATTGATCTTTTCAAACTGAGAGTCTCGTAAAGTATATAAGATGCTTTATTTGATAAAGAATTAACAACAATTCTTTATTTCCTATAGCGTGACTATAAATCAACTAAAAGAGAAAGAAACTCATTTGAGAGTAAAACTGTCGCAAGTTGCTCTTGAAAACATTTTTCGCCAAGTAAATAGTGCGTTGAGACTGACTATTCTACTGTCAAACTCATCTCAAGGCAGCATCAACTACCGAAAAATGCTTTCGAAAGTAACTGATGATAGTTTCACTTCTAAATGGACACCTAGCCTCACGACGAATCCTATCAAAGGTCCATCAAGCAGTCATACCCAAAGATCGTCGATTGTAGATTGAACCTGCAAAAGATCAATGTGATATCCGTTATAATTAGTCAGTGCGATATACCGATGACGGTCGGTCACGTTGCTCCGAAGATTTTCTTGTCCAAGTCACGGGAGTCGGGTCCGAAACGCTCCTCGGAGCTGTGCGATCGTTATTCGATAGATATCGAGGAACAAGGCGACAGGCACACGGCGAGAATAATGAACGAAAGGCGCGAGACTTCGCGGCTGATCTTCTACTCGCAAACAGAAGTCACGCTATTCGGCTTTTGGAGCCGGGCCAGATGCTTCGCGGTATCCTTTTCGTGTTTCCGGTTGAAGATGCCAGACGACAGGGGAATTCTGTCGTGGGATTCTTTTTTCTCTTTCTACCGCCTGTGCAGTGACAATGGTTATTCTCGAACGCGAGACGGTCCGCGAAGGATCGAACGTCGCGTTCGCAGGACATTAACGTCAAAGAGAGTCTCGTTAAATTGCAACGGACGCATTGAAATTCTAGTTTAACAGCGCGACTACCAAATGGACCTACGTGACTCTGATTTCTTATTCTGCTGTCAAATGACGTAGACACCCTGAGAAATTACTGAACAAATTGACTTCATAATATACAAATGAAAATACAAGTCAATAGAAAGTTTAAGAAATGCACCCTTATAATTTGTATAAAAAGATTAAGAAAAGACAATTTAACTGCTCATTAGTCCTAGTGTTAAACACGGTCGAGTAGATGAGCTCGAAAGGAACCTTCTTAAAATGGCAAACGCACGCATTCCTCCAGAGCGTGCGATCAGACGAATTTTTGCGCGTACGTGCCACTGCACCCTTCTTAATCGCATTGCACCAGCCGGGTGACATTTATTGGCGTTGATTGAAGCGTTGCAACAGTCACACATCGATTCAAGGTCTGCTTAGCGCTTACGCGATGGCCTCAATCAAAACGGATAGCGTTTCTGTCGTTGTTCCGCCCGGGAACTGTCGATAATCGTTTGAACTTGAATTTTCATTGATATTGAAAAAACATCAACTTTGAAAGACGAATAACATGTAAAAGTCGAATTCTTCTTTCAATAATTTGCAAAAGATTATCGAATTATATGATTGCTTGATTTACCGCGGTCGATAAATCAGGTATTTGCAAATTTTCCCGGTTGTAAAGTTAGATTTCTGTATTGTACAATGTTAAGTGTCACTGTAAACTCGTAACGACGAGAATTTCTTAAACTTAGGATTAACCGTCGTTCTCAGAATCCACGTCACTCGTTGCACAAGTTCTCTAGAAGCTTTTGAAACGCGATCCCTTCCAAAAGAAATCAACGTTTATAACTTCATTATTGCGAACGATCCGCGCAATTTTTCCTAATCGTTCGCAGTCCGATCGTCGCTCATTACGGTTCAATTAGTTTTGCTATTCCGCGTGCTTCGGGCGCTCGTTACGATACGTTGCATCATCCGTTGCACGTGTGCAACCGCACGCGGCGCATTCTTTGCGAGAAGCGCGCCAATGGAACTGCAAATCATATTTCGTTATCATTGGATTTTGTTGCCCGATGAAATCGAAAGAGGACGTTGAATGACTCGCGTTGTTCCCAGATGCAAATGTTAATGAACGAAAACTCATTTTTTAAAAAAGATACTATTACCATAGTAACTACTTTACCATTGAAGTAAGGATTTCATAGATCCGCCATTCGTAGGGCTAGCAGTCGTCGACCTAGGGCTACCATGATTAATCTAGAATGTCCTGGATCTCTAACTCCGCATCCAGGATTAAATCAATGCGAAAGCTTCAGGAACAAATGATTACATTATGCTTTTTACGAAGGAATATTCAACTTGCAACAGACTTTAACATTGAACTTAAGTATTCATGAAACTTTCAGCGTTATAAAATATAGTAACTAAAGAATGGTAACTACCTGAATATAGTAATATATTAAATTTAGTATATCAAATATAATAATAAATATTAAATATAGTATACTGAAAATTATATTAACTATGTAAACCACAGTACCATTAATCACGTAAATAATTATTCCCAATCTTCACCGGGGATAGTCTACAGGAAAGACTGGAAATCATAGAAACCTTGTTTAGTTTTAAGGAAAACGAGCCAGCTAATTGTCAAAGGAACGTTTACGTCATTCTTTGCCCAAGTGCATCGCAGGTTCTCCTGTGGGCAAGCGCGCGATTGCGTGCTTAGAAAGTTTAGCGGGTACGTGCACGATCGTCGATCCGCGGCCACTGGCAATCGGCCGCGATAACGGAAACAATGCGTCCGTCGGTCGCATCGACGTGACCGCTTTCAGTGCACGAGTTTCGCCTTGTGTTGGTCTCTGCTTATCTCCCTCGTGACGCTGATCCTTCTCCGAGTTCCGTCAATCGAATTATTCGTAAGGGAGAAACGCTGACCAATCGTGGCGACTGTTTCAAGATTTCGTCAAACACTCAGTAATCCACGGGGAGAACCCATAGATCGGCCTGTAATAAATCTTCGTCGAAAGAAATTCATGAAACCGATTCTCTTTTTCACAATTCCTTCGATCGAACGTTTTTATTCCATCGCAGATACATCGAGAGATTTCATCAGATAAGATTAGCGAACGACCTTAGCCACCGAAGAAAAGGTACTCGAAGAACAATGGCTGCAACGACGCAGCCCCGCTTTTTTTTCTCGTTTCTCTGATCGCGATGACTCCGAAGCGCGATAGCGAAAGCCTGACACGCAGTCTAGCTACGCTGAATTGAAATCTTCGTTCCTGTTATTACCGTTAACGGAAATTGCACCGATCAAGAGTAAAAGTTCCAATTGTCCAATAAATATCGTTGAACGTCGATTCCCGCGGCTCGACCGTCGAACCGATACCACCGCGTGATCGTCCGTTGGATTCGAGTCGAAATCGCGGAGCGAGGAAAGCGAGCCGCAGAGAAATCAATTCGTGTGTGTACCCTTCGACTGTATCAACTTTCCTCGGGATTATCAGGCTCGCCGTTATCTCGAGCAGACGTTGCTTCAGCTCGACGCGCGTGCCTCGATCCGCTGCTCGCGATCCGGAAGCGCGATCGTAGGAATAAACAAGGAACGGAAACATCAAAACTCCACAAGTTTCTTTTAAAATAGTCTCTTGTATTTGTCTCCGAAGTTTCATTGAAAATCCTATTCTCGTGTATAATCTATTCGCATTATATAATACAATGTTTTAATACAATGATTCCTTTTCTGATTGCTCCGAGCGTACAAAAACGAAGAAAGAAACGCGTCGAATTCGTCGATCGCTCGATATCTGTTCGTGCGCTGCGTGTGTCTCTCAGTCTCTCCCTCTCTCGTTCGACCGTCTTCCTCCCGATGAATCACAATAACGGATATGTCGGTAATCGAGCGAATTTTCCCGCCGGATGGGAAAAACGCGTCGCGCGGGATCAGTAACGGGTAACGCGTCGCCGGGATACAGGGAAAAATGGATCCTTCGATTGCTTGGTAGACCGCGGATCTTTATGTAAATAATCTTCTTGGAATACACCGGCTCTTCCAAAACGCATCGTTAAGAGACCATTGAGAAATGCACGTGTCAAATTGGTTTGATTTAAATTCGTTATTACTAGTTTTGAAACATGCTCGATTTGTCCCTTCTCCATTGAAACTGGAAAGTGTAGTTTCACGGAAATACTGGGATTTCCAAACTGGTAAATATAAATGAATCTACGTAATTGCATCACGGAAGTGATCGATCGCTTTTTCTGAGATCTCTAGAGATACCGTTGAATCTAACGATTAAACTTTGCACCATTCGATTCCACGCGTTCACTCGGAGACGCGTGATCTTTCTTGAACGAACCGACTTCTGGAAGAGCGTCGTCGAGAATCAATGGAAATTACCACGAGCTCGCGGGAAGTTGATTGATAAATGCATAAAATCATCCACGGTCTAACTATCACACTGTAAACCGCCCCTCGGCGAAGGAAACTTTCGCAACGCGAGCATTCCCCGAAACTTCGAGTCCCAAATCCTACAAATTTTCTCGAGAGTACTCGAATAGGAGTCCATGGAAAAGAGGAGAGCGACGAGAACAGAGGTGAGGGAAACAAAACGCAACGACAGGTCGATGCGTGCAACAAAACGTTTCTTTCGTTCACTTTGATTTCGTTTATTCGGCGAGTAACGGGGAGCGCACAAACTCTCGATCGGTCCCCGCTGGAAAAGTAAACGGAACATAATGTCGTCGTCGTCGTTGTCGGGCGGTCGACGGTTCGTCGGCCAATAAATAAATCGAATAAAATTCAATACTGATTATCGGTTACACTGTTTGGAACGCGCATGGACGAATTCACCGGTGTTTCCTTTGTCGCGTGTCCTT